CCTTACTAGCCTGTCTCTAGCTTACAAAACTTCTCGCTTTTGTTCCTGAAGAATGCCTTCAGTCCTAGAAAGTAGCTCTTCCTCTCCATAGCTGGGTCCTGCTCACCAGCTCTCCCTGTCTCCAGCTCTTCCTGTAGTATCAGTATAGAAACTGCAACCCATTCCAGGAGAAGTAGGAGTCCCATGCAATAAATATGATAGAAAAATAAGCATAGATTTTGAAATCTAAGCTGTGCCTTCCCAATTTCACCCTGTTTTTAAAATTGGTGACTGATAAACCTGTGAATCTGGTCCTGTTTTGACTAGAGTGCAAAATGACTTGGTTGACAAAGATTATTGAAATCCCTGTGCAGAGAACACATTTTTTTCCTTTGTAATTATACATCTCAACTGTAGAACTAGCCAGACTGTGTTGCATTTTCTCTGTACACACTAGGAAAGATTTATTTTTTAGAAGAGTACTTGATTATGACTATATTTCTTAGTTATATTATTTGATTTTAATGTATTAGTTCTTCTAAACTACATCAAAATATATGTCCTCCAAGGGGCCATATAAAGTGATTTGCTTTAGTATAGAAGTCTCTCTCTTTAATCAGTGTCACTTATCAAAGAAGTTAATTTTACTGGTTTTATCAGGTTCAGGAATCAGAAGCTCCCATGAACAAGTGTGGTCAGACTAATACGTTTCCATAATCTGCCACAGTAGTGTAATTAGGGGCGGGCACAAGGACACCTGGGTTGGACACCAAGGTAGGAAGGGCTCTGGAATTACCCCCAACCCCCACTCTGGCAGCACTGCTATGCTGGGAACTGCTTGGTTGCTGTTGCTTTAGGAGCAAAAGAGCATGCAAGGCAGCAGCAGCTCCACTGGGACTCCTTTGAAGTTCCCAGAGTAGATAGAGCTACTGTTCCCCTCCTGCTCTCTGAACCTAAGTGCCTTCTGCCCCTACTCTTGGGAACATGTGTCTCCTTCACTCCCTCCTCCCACTTGCTGCCCCGCAGAGTGCATCTCAGGTGCCATCTTGGCTTGTTACATCACTTGGCTGCCAAAATATTATTTGGTTATTTTTGAACTACAGTCTGAGAGTACAAGTGTAAGTTGTGGACCTGGAGTTATGAAATAATATTTTACTCTGTACAGTGAATCTTTATTTGGCTTTGCTTTAAATAAAATTCCTATAAATAAAAATTATTCTCTCTTCCTATGAGGAGAAAAATACTTAAGGGCCAAGAATACACATTTTCTCTTCTATCAAGTTAAAAATCAGTGCTCTAGAATAATAATAAGGTGGTTAGAGGGAATATTTCTGTTCTTCTTGCAAGATAACAGTGATTGAAAATTATTCCTTAGCTCAGTAGATATACAATAGATGCAATTATGCACTCTGTCTTAAAAGTCTAATGCTACAAAGTTGATTTCAAAATTCATGTTTTCATTATAAGAGATGGCTGTTTATGGTTTGATGTTTATGACTAGTTATTTTTATGCATTGCAAGCAGTTTTTATGGAAAATTGATAAACTGATTTGGCATTGGTAGCAGCTGAAAAATTGCACATTTCAGTTGAAAAGATGATTTGTATTCCGTTCCAATACCACTTGATGCCCTGTTAATAGTACATGTGATAGGCATATTCTGGAAAGCTTGCACATACAAGGTGACCCCTCCAGGCTTCAGCTGGATCAGGTCTGTGATGGAACTTAATACGGGTGAAGAATTTGTCTCTTGAGCTGTCAATGAAGACCTTTTTCATGCATAATAAATTCAATTTTAACTAAAAAATTAAAATGAAATAAAACAAAAAGTCTACTTCGATGGTAGGATCTGACTATGCCTAAATTTGTTTTACATTAATCTTGTATCAATCTTTCAGCTTCTATAAGTCCAACTATGTGCAACGATTTCACTATTCAAGACCAGTCAGAAAAGGATCTGTTGACCCAGAAAATGAATTTGCTGTAAGTAACTCTTTGGAATGGGAGTGCCTTTTAAAAATGTGTTAGAGGTGCTGTGGTTATGAATTAGGAGCTAGCTACTCCAATAGCCACTTCCAGCTTCTTGCTATGAAAGCCCTTGTTTCCAGATCTGAAACAAGACCTATTTTTGTTTCATAAAATTTAAAAGAAAAATGTAATGAAAATGGTGGGGGGAAGGGCTCCCCATTTCTATAATATAACCATACACTTTTCCCTGTATTCTCATTTGTACATTTTACATTACTATTTGAATGTTTAGGTAAAACTTTCAAATAAATACATTAAATACAATCAGATCAAACAATGAAGTCCTCCTACAACAATTTTTCAATGTTAAACAAGACAAAATGTATATGAATAGCAATAAAATGTGTTGCCACCAGTGCTTGGTAATGGTTCTGTTTATAAGGTACCAGTATTATAAGGAATGTAGATTGCCTGTTTTCATCAGTCACTTAGTGTTAACAGAGCTAGAGTTCTGCATATACTATTATTACTTATATCATCTGTTTAATTCTACAGCTACAAATAATCTTCATAGTTTTAATATACTGTGAGGTCTCTGTGACTATAAATTATTATTTTATAGTGTCATGTAAGCAGTGAGGTAAGTTTTCATACTTTTGCCATATAAATAATGTTTTATTGGTTATGCCATAAAATTATGCTTTCTAGTCTGTATTTTCTAGTCAAATCTTTATGTTAAACCAATACAGTTAGGAAACTGGTAGGAGTAGCATTTTTTCCAGACTTATCCAAACAGCTTATTTCAAATTTTTATGACGCACTTAAATTTTATCTGTGATATGGTCAGTAAGATGAACCCTAGCATCATAGAAAAGTAAGGCTAGAAGGGACATTTGAAGGCCACAGAGAAGTAGGGCTAGTAGGGACTTCCAGAGGCCATCTAGTCAAACCCCCTGCATGTGGGCAGCTTATGCCTATCCAAACCATATACATCCTTGTCTAAACTACTATGAAACTTACACAGGCAACCATGACATAAAAGCACAAGGAATAGCACCCTAACCTGCCACAGATAAAACAGGGGAAAAATGGCAGACAGTGTCCTGCTGCTGCAAGGGTTGTTAAAATATGCTTGAGAGAGCCCCGTTATGATTGGGATCTGTATAACTTTCCCAAATCTAGAAATAATGCCAGACCCCTGGCAGATGTTAAAATATTGGTGCAGTTGGGATCCGAGGAATTTTATGCCCCATCCCAAAAAATCACACTTTCTACCATACCAGATGTGCATGGCAAAATGAGCAGTGTTGGGGATGAGGCATAAAATTCCTCAAAACCCAGTCACACTATTGCAGATCGGACAGGGAATGACTCTGCCCCAGATCTAGAGACTGAAATATCAGGATTGGGCATTGGGAACCAGGAACCGGAGATGCCCCTAGCCCAGTCCCCAGGGACCGTGCCAGGCTGGTCCTGACATGGCTGATTTTTGGCGCTGTCTATGCTCAGTTCTGGGTCTGGTTCTAACCTGGGGCTATCTGAGGCCAGTGCTGACAAGGTGATTGCATCAGTCCCAAACAGCCTTGGGTGCAGTTTAAGACCTGAAGCTTTACAGGGCTGATGCCAAAAATCAATTGATAGTTGATTCTTGACAGTGTCAGGCAGCCCCACTTTGGAACACAACACATGCTATATGTACCAGTAGCAAAGGAGTGCTACGTTATATGGGAAATATCTTTGTGGTTGGTTTGCCATTTTATGGAATCATAAATTGGCTAAACATGTAGCATATTATAATTTATGGTGCAGTTAATGCAATAATGAAGCCATAACTGTGATGTCTGCTAGGGGCCTCAGGTGGCACAAACTCAAATATTTGTTCTGCTTTGAACTTTAATGTGCTAAGTCAGTAATGCAGACAGGGTCTTATTGTGGAAAGGAGAGGTTTGTAACAGATAATGCCTAGAAACCACTTGACAAACCATATCTGATTAATCCCTGTAAAACAGACATTTCAGGAAGGTAAATATTAGTATGTACTGTAGACATGTGTGAATTGAGATAGTTAAACTGTGTTTGCAGTTCTACCTAGTAAAATTCCCACTCTGTCTACAACTAGTTCAGCTCAACTGTTAGCAATAACAAGAGGAGCATAGGGTACATGGTCTGTTAACATTTTAATCCACTCTGTTGTCCAATTCCATTAACAGCAAAATGTGGCTAAAATGCTAGCTGCCTGCCATGACACTATTGCTAGTGTTAGTTTTGGTGACAAATTTTAAGAAAATGCAGTCCAGTGCTGAGAAGGCCAGAGTAAGTGATTTAGCCACAAAGATACACAGTTGGGGCATAGTTAGGAATGGGTGTTAGAAGATTCAATATTTATTTTGTTCCTTAGTTTGCATATACTGAGCTTTTATTTTGAAATCAATAAACAATTTATGCAAATTACCATGCTAGATTCATTTTACAGCACCTGTTTATGGAAAATAATGTGCATATTTTTGCCTATTTTAATAGGATAATATTAATCAAATTTTAATTAGTCTGGAAGACTACAGTCTCAATTCTGAATGTTCTCCCTCCCTCTCTTTTTTTCCTAATAGTCTATGTGGATTGAAAGAACATCATTTGTTACAGCCTACAAACTTCCTGGAATTCTGCGTTGGTTTGAGGTTGTCTCAATGTCACAGGTGTGTATAAACATGCTAGACAAGGTTCCTTGGGTGAATTTGATATCTTTTATTAGACCAACCCAAATGGTTGGAGAATAGTTATTAAGCAAGCTTTCGGGTTCAAAAACCCTTCGTCAGGCTAAGGAAGCTGCAGCAGTTGGTGTGTGCTCTTCCTGGATATCAAATTCACCCAAGGAACCTTGTCTGCCTATATCCTTAGACCAACACGGCTACAACCTAAACCCCTATAAACATGCTAAGTATTCCGGTATATGAATTAGTTCATATGAATACAGTATTGAGCTTCTGTACAGATTGATTTTGAGATAAATCATTCAAGACATTGCTTTTACCAGTGTATTCACCTTGTTTTATTTTTAATGACACATACAAGACTACCACTCTGAGCCCTTTGAATTTCACCAGTATATATTATTTTAATTTTGGACTTCACATAGACATGGACAGATGTGCACCTTTACTCAAGTACAAAAAGTTATTTGTTTATCAACAATTTTCAAAGTCAGGTCATGTTGGCAATGTAGTTATGACCTTGTTCTGGATGGACCCAAACCCTCAGACCGACCATAGTAGATAAGCAGATAAGAATAATACAAGTAATTCTCTAGCAGATAGCAGATAAGAATACTACAAATAATTCTATATACCTGCCAGCCCTAGGAGTGTCATCAGAGTCAAGGTATGACTGGCCAGGACACAGGCTTCACTCTGTGGTTCTCTCTTGAATGTCAGATGTCAGCAGCCTGGAGGTTGGAGGACAAGGCCCACCCCTTTCTCCCAGTGGGGTGGATGAGAAGGGCTGGTGGTATGCCTTCTGTCCACTGTGCCTCAGGTTACTCCCTCGGGGACCCTTTTCTGCTCTAAAGTCCCTGCTTTTTTAGTCTTTCTCCCTCCTGATGACTCTTGATCCGTGGGCATCACTGATTGGTCTTTCTGTGGCCATCATACTGTCCACACTCTGTCCTGTCAGCATATTCCTTTGTGCAAGCCCATCACATGCACACATTCTAATTTGGGTTTTCCCAGTCTTCTCCTAATTTGGTCTGTTCCCCCAAAACCGGAAATCCCAAGGGCTCCACTCTTGGGCCTTGTGAGCTGGTGCCACCTTATCTCATGTTATGGAATAGTGTGATATATGCCCACAATTTCTCACTGTATGCGTCTATCCATTGGCCTTGTTGTTTGCCTGTGTTAGATACCTGTTCTACCTTGAAGTCTGTGAAACTGTTTGACAACCAGGACTTTAGAAATCAATTAACCCTTGGCATTGCCCTGGACTGTTACTCTAATGTAAATATTTTTTACCTACAGCCAATTCCCCAAAACAAATATCAAAATACCATTTTCTAGCCATCAGGTCAGGGTGTATGTCTTTTCCCAAGACTTTGGGTCAATTACAAAATACAGACTGTTTGAACTGTTCAGGATTTTCTTTTGGGTGGGGAGAGGGGAGTGGTGTATTTGCATTTCATAGATTCATAGATGTTAGGGTCAGAAGGGACCTATTAGATCATCGAGTCTGACCCCTTGCCCTGGGCAGGAATGAATGCTGGGGTCAGATGGCCCCAGCCAGGTGTCTGTCCAATCTCCTTTTAAATATCTCCAAGGAAGGGGACAGCACCACCTTCCTTGGAAGCTTATTTTGGCAACCCTCACTGTAAAGAACTTTTTCCTAGTGTCCAATCTGAATTTGCTCTCTTCCAGTTTGTGGCCATTATTTCTAGTTACCCTGACAGGCACCCTGGTAAACACTGTATCCCCTATTTCTTGCTGGGCCCCCCTGATGAGTTTGTAGGTGCCCACGAGATCACCTCTCAGCCTTCTCTTGGAGAGGCTGAAGAGGTTCAGATCTCCCAGTAGGTCCACATAGGGTTTTTTCTGTAGGCCTCTAACCAGATGAATAGCCCTCCTCTGAACCCGCTCCAGGTCATCCACATCCCTCCTGAAGTGCGGTACCCAAAACTGGACACAGTATTCCAGCTGCAGCCTAACCAACGCTGCATAGAGAGGAAGTATCACCTCTCTAGACCTGTTTGTGATGCACCTGCTTATGCAAGAAAGGACGCAGTTACCTTTACTTATTACCTCATCACACTGGTGACTCATGTTCATTTTGGAGTCAACTACGACTCTGAGATCCCTTTCTGCAGTTGTGCTACTTAGAGTGGTACCTCCCAGGCTGTAGGAGTGTTGATGATTCTTCCTCCCCAGGTGCAACACATGACACTTATCCTTGTTAAACTGCATCCTATTCTGTTCAGCCCATTTCCCCAGCCTGTCCAAATCAGCCTGGATTTGCTCCTTGCTATGTAGTTTGTGTACCTCCCCGCATAGTTTGGTGTCATCAGCAAACTTGAACAGGGTGCTTTCTACTCCCTCGTCCAAGTCACTAATGAAGATATTGAATACTACCAGTCCCAGGACAGAGCCTTGGGGGACTCTGCTGCCCACATTTCTCCAGGTAGAAACCAATCCATCCACCACCACACTCTGGGTGCATCCCATAAGTCCACGGTTCATGATTAAACTAACCTACATTTTAGCTGTTACAAGGAAACTATGAGAAATATATCATTTCAAAACAGTAAAACTGTGTTTAAGGCAAAAAGCAACCATACACCTGTCCCAACAAACCAACCGTATTTTGACAGAATTGTTATTTACTTATATAAAGATAAATAAAATTTCTGTAGTTGCATTTTGACTTTCCATACTTTGAGTTTTCTACCATGTGTTAATGGAGCAGTTCCTCAAGGAGTCCATTTCTAAGCATTTGGAGGATAAAAAAGGGATCAGAAACACTCAGCATGGATTCACCAATGGCAAGTCATGCCTGATCAACCTAATTGCCCTCTATCATGAGATGATTGGCTCTGTGAATACAGAGAGAGCAATGGACATGATGTACCTTGACTTTAGCAAGGATTTTGATATAGTCTGCCACAACGTTCTTGCAAGCAAGCTAAGGAAGTATGGGTTGGATTAATGGACTATAACTGGATAAAGAACTGGCTGGATCATCAAGCTCAATGGGTAGGGATCAATGTTTAGCTGGCAACTGGTATCAAGTGGAGTGCCCCAGAGGTTGGTCCTGGGGCCAGTTTTTTCAATATCTTCATTAACAATCTGGAAGATACGATGGAGTGCACCCTCAGGAAATTTGCAGGTGACACAAAGCTGTGGGGAGTAGTAGATGCGCTGGATGATAGGACTAGGATTCAGAGTGACCTAGACAAATTGGGCCAAAAGAAATTTCATGAGGTTCAATAATGACAAGTGCAAAGTCCTGCACTTAGGATGGAAGAATCCCATGCACTGCTATAGGCTTAGGACCAAGCAGCAGCTCTGCAGAAAAGGACCTGGTGGTTACTTGGACAGCTTATAAGCGGACAATATGTTGAATATGAGTCAGCAGTGTGCCCTTGTTGCCAAGAAGGCTAGCAGCAAACTGGACTGCCTTAGTAGGAGTGTTGACAGCCGATCAAGGGAAGTATTTATTCCCCTTTATTCAGCATTGGTAATGCCACATCAGAAAGCATGTGGATAAGTTGGAGGGAGTCCAGTGGAGGGCACCAAAAATGGTTAGGGTGCTGGAGCACCTGACTTCCAAATTCCCTCAACATCTCCTCAGCTTATTTAGTCTGGAGAAGAAAAAACTGATGGGGGGGGGGGGGGGGGGGGGGGGGGCCTTTTTTTGCCAAAATCTGGTGGGGGGGGGGGGGAGGGTTGAGAGCAGCCTTTAATTGCCTGAAGAGTGGTTACAAAGAGGACAGAGCTAAACTTTTCAAATGACAGAACAGAGAGCAATGGTCTCAAGTTGCAGCAAAGGAAGTTTGGGTTGAATATTAGGAAAAAACTTTCTTACTAGGAGGGTTGTAAAACGCTGAAATGGGTTACCTAGATAAGTGATGGAATCTCCATCCTTGGACACTTTATGGCCCAGCTCGACAAAACTCTCACTGGAACGATCTTGTTGGGGATGGTCCTGCTTTGAGCAGGGGTTGGACTAGATGACTTTCTGAGGTCTTTTCCAACCTTAATTTTCTATGATTCTATGACTAAGAATAAATAAAAGCTTCTGTTTACTTTGTTCCAGTTCCAACATCCATTTTAATCTCAGAAAAGTAGATCTCATAATCATATTTTTCAGTCATCTTGAAGTATTGAGACTGATGATCTGAAATAATCTTAAAGAAATACCTGTAATGAGGGTTCACCAATAAAATAATGGGAATGTAAAAAAAATTAGTTCTGAGAGTACTGCAAAGAGAAGAAGAAATTTATCAAGAAAATAATGAGGGAAAAGATGAATCAAGAACATAAGAGACATGTTTAAAGGAGTTAATGAACGGAAGAGTGGCTAACACCAGAGGATGATAGCAGTATATGATAAAAACAGGAATCTGATGATAGCACAACAAGGAATCCTGAAGTTTTGGAGAGAATATTTTGAAGAATTTCTAAATGTATAGTATGAAAATGAAGAAAGATTTGTTAACTATCAAAGTGCTGAATCTTAAATAGTAGAGCCTTTGTTAGAGGAGTTACAGATCCCTGGTTAAAAAAAAAAATCAGAAATAATAAGGCACTGGGGATAGAATTTTCTAGCCAAATGCCTAAAATTTGGATTCAGAGCATTAAAGCACCATCTTCACAAGATGATTAAAAAGTTCTGGAGATAGGAAAGCTCTACATCATATCTACATAGACTTTGTCAAATCTTATGCTAGCACTATGGTCAGTCATTGTGGGGTTTGTAACTCCCAACAACTGGTATGCCTAAGATGTGCATTGAAGGATCAAGGAGTTGCTTGAGAATTGAGTGAATGTTATCAGACCTGATGGAAATCAATAGTGGGCTCAAAGAAGGGGATGCACTGTCACCAATATTATTCAGCTTGATACTTGAGAAGGTCATAAAAGCCACTGAAGAAGGAAAACAGCTGCAGCTGAACAGACTGCACCAGGTATTTGCTTATGTAAACAATATCTGCCTC